ACAACTCATTTTATGAGTGCCACAACATTCTGTTTTCTGTATCAACTGATAAATTGTAATAAATACTGTAGTATACTTTAGTTTTTTTTTTACTACAGTAAAAGTGGTTTATTGTATCATAATACATATAGCTGTAGAAAACATATTACAGAATGGGTGATTTGTTTATATTAGGTGTGCATCTGCATAAAACATTACAAACAATCTACGAGCAGAGATAAATACAATATAAAATGTTGAAATAAAATGAACAGAGCTTTGTTGTTTTTCAACGAGTCTAACAGTATTCAGGTACAGTAATGTAATAATCTAATGTAAAATAATACTACTATTGTCTTCATTTTTTTAATTAAATAAAATGATTTGCTATTAAAATGACCAATTATGCAATTTATTAGACCTAAAGCTTTTACAGTCGCAGGCCTCAGAAACACACGCAAACGCTAAATTATAATCCAGACTCAACCTTGTATTTCTTGTGATGTGACTATTGTGAATGATCATTGATGCTGAAATAATGCTCTGGGATAATTTATGTGAGCTAAGGGATAATTGACCCAAAAAATGTTAATTCATAATCGTCACAATCATATTTATGCGGTGAACTATCCATTTAAGATTGTGCAAACAGTGAACCTCTGAAAAAGTAAAGCTTTAATGTTTTAATTTTCCACTTAAATACCAGTTCCTCATCTAACATTCATTCATGCAGTGAATAACTATCATTAACTGAGTTACATATTTATTATTCAGTTTACTCTTACTCATCTACTAACTGTGGTGTCAGATGCGGTTTTGACCTCCATCAGTGTTTTTAACATCTATAAGACTCGACAGAATCTCACACAATCTGTGGCATAAATTGATAGACTGTTTCAGCTTTAGCAGCACATCATGCTGAATTACTGATCCTGAGCTGAACATTGTTTATACAAGTACCACAAGTTATTTATTCTGGTCTAAAGACTAAAAAGCTGTTTAATATTAAAGATAAAAGGTAAACTAAAACCACTTTGTCCTCTCTGACACTAAATATGTTTTAGCTGTTTTATGATTAAAAAAATATGTTTGTGATTATTAATCTGCAACCAACAACCTGCAGTATTTTATAATATGGTGGCCTTTAGCGTCATTATGCAATATATGAACTGTGGATTACACTAGAGGCCACATCTGCATCTGACACCATATTTAGTGACTGAAAAAGTGTTGATTCAATTAGTGAATGAATGAATGAATAAATAAATGAGATACTCACTGAATGAGTGAATGTTAGTCGCTGAACTGCTTTTCTGTTGTCATTTAAAAGCTTTTCATTTCCTGATGAACTGTGGCCTATTTGACGAGATGTTTTGCTGTTAAATGGCAAATCATAAATAATTTAGTTATGAAAATATTGTTTCTATATGTATTAATCATTATATATATATAATATATATGAGTCACTGGGCGTTGCAGGCACTGTTATTCAATGGTTTAGATCTTACCTCTCTGACAGATCATTCAGGGTGTCTTGGAGGGGAAAGGTGTCCAACCTACAGCATCTAAACACTGGGGTACCTCAAGGCTCTGTTCTTGGGCCACTTCTCTTCTCCATCTACACGACATCTCTAGGACCAGTCATTCAGAAACATGGATTCTCCTACCACTGCTATGCTGATGATACCCAACTATACCTCTCTTTTCACCCTGATGATCCCTCGGTTCCAGCTCGCATCTCAGCCTGCCTGTCGGACATTTCACACTGGATGAAAGATCATCATCTTCAGCTTAACCTTGCGAAAACAGAAATGCTTGGAGTTTCTTCTAACCCGACTCTGCACCACAGTTGCCTTTAAATAGCACAACATTGTGATTAACTATTCAGTACAATAAACTTTACTACGTGGTTCTAAAATACTATAGTATTTAGTTTAAATAACTATATTTTATTTGGGACCGTACTGCTGTTTATTTTTATCCAAACAGTGCCATAAGACCAATAAAAAGTCAACTTTACTTCATCATTTATCATTTCCTCCCAGGCCCGGCGCCAGGAAGTCAAAACTGAGGGGGCACTTTAAATCCATAGGGGGGCACTAGACCTGGTGACTCATTTTGTTCTCTTGTTTCTTTCATTTAGGCTATTTATTCACATTTATTATTACTTTGCATTACTGCCCAAGTTACTGAACTAAGGCAGTAATATAGGCTACGTTTTAATAGTAATAACAATATGCAGTTGTATGCAAGCTGACCCACGATCAGACTATTCATTTAACCGGTAAATAAATATAGTAAAATCAGCTCAACCGAGTCATCCCGCTTCACGTATTATCCAACCAACATCATTGTTAGGGAAAAGCTAAATGTTACAATTTAATGTCATTTAAAACAATTACTTAGTTTCATTTTAAGGCATTAGTGTAGCCAGAAAAATACCTAAAAAGATACCAAAATTTACACGTTATTAAAGTGAAAAATGGTTAAATTTTGGCATGGATAACACTCAATATGCTATATAACTTTTTTTCATGATTTTAAATGTAAAAACAAAGATTTATCTTAGGCTATCATAAGTGTGTTTTTTTCGTGAAATTGTAAAACCATCATAAACCATTAGGTTACTAAGCCTACCGTAATTTTATTTCTTAATTATTTAATTTATTAAGCCTTTTTTAATAGCTTGTTTTCAGGTTATTTTCATTTTAAAGCCATGAGCTACAAGTCAAAACAAACTCGATATGTTGTATTTTAGCTCTTAAAATAGATCTACAATATATTTTGTTTAATTTTGCATGAGCAAAAAGCTGTATAGCCTAAATGACATATTTTTAAAAGATTATCATTCTGCTTACCTGCAGTGCGTGAGAGGTTTCTCAGTTGATCCGCGATAAATCCACTTAAGCACTATATTCCATTTATAACACTGCAAACTTGACTTAATAAACGCAAAAGGCATTTATTATGTGTTATACCTTGACTGCTGCTGCATAATGGGATGTTTCTCTACACAACTGTAAAAGTGCGCTTTTTAGCAAAATGAAAGCAAACATTCAAAGGGTTCTGCGTTTTGTCAATTTTAGTTTAATTGTAATAATAATAATAATAATATTAATAAATAAAATTAAAATATTATTTATAGTGTAGCCTACTGTGGGACTGTGCAGTAAACTATTTGTTTTTATTAAAACATTCTTGCTACATCTTCCCGAACTAAATGACTGGCAGTTGCGTCTCTGCTAAAATTAATTTAACAGCAAATTTCTTATGTGTTTTTCCTTTTAGAGCTCAAGAGAGTTGTGTTTAAATAATTAGTTAACCAAAGCATGTAATGAATTAAGCTGCTCCTATCATGTCACCCACTTTTCTCCGTTGTGAGTTGAGTGCGCCTCCATCGCCGTGTGCGCGTTTTAAAGGCTATTTACGGCCGCACCTGACCTGACGCGGGGACCGGATCTCTGAACTATAGGACTAGCTTTAATATCACTATTTTCATAATTCAATTGCTATGTCATATATTTTAAAATATTTAAATGTGTGTTCTTAAGGTTGGAACGACGAGAGTGTTAATAATTAATGACAGAAAGAATTTTCAGTTTGAGTCCTTTATAAAAACTGGGGGGGCACAAACTCTTTCTGAGGGGGCAATGCCCCCCTTTTTTTAAAATTTTTTATTGTTCTGACCATTCTACATTTATAGGGTCATCATAATTGCATTATAACAGGCTTCATCAGGCAGTAAATCTTTTGGACTCTTAAAATGTTCTTTTGATTATCAGAGACAATAAATATCACACACTTCTGATCACTTCTACATTCACTGTAATCCACTGCCACAATCACACACACACACACACACACACACACACACACACACACACACACACACACACACACACACACACACACACACACACACACACACACACACACACACACACACACACACACACACACATTGCTGTATAATAAAGCTTTGAACTAAACTTTGGATTTGGATGAGGCAACTTTGAAATTGTATTGATTTTAACACATAATGAAGATCAAAGGCAAACATGAAGGGATTTACATTATAAACGCATCAGGAAATGATGAGATTAGAGAGTTTTAAATCATTTTTAACACACGGATATAAACTTGTAGAAAATAAATTTGAAGGTGCCTTTAAAAAAAGTGTTAAATTACTTTAAAAACTAAAAAACAAATCGCCAATAGGTGGCAGCAAGAGACCGCTTTATTCGAGTGAAGCTTTGAGTGATTCATTCAGCCACGAATCACTGATTCATTGACTCGCTCGATTCTTTACAAAGGCCAGAATCATTCGTGTAAGGAAACGCAGCTGTGTATTATTCAGAGATGTCCAACTGTTCTGCAGTTTATTTAATTGTTATCATAGTAATGATTTCACTATTATTTATGAGAATATAACGCGGAAGTTTTTCAGCGCCTCGTCACGTGATCGTCAGCATCCATGGCAACGGTTCTCTTTGTGAGGTTTTGAACTCCGCTCTGTCATTGGCATCTGATCTCGGCGTCCTTCGTGGCAACTGATTCCCAGATTATTGATATTATTGATTGTTGGATACATCGATTGATCGCCTGCTGCTCCCTTCATTCAGGTTTGACCCTTGTTATCACACTGTGTTTTGTGTTCAGTATGTCTTGTGTTCATTACAGGTTTCAGAGTCGACTCATCTACGACTCGCTCCAATTTGAGGGCCTCAACATCACTGTGGGAGAGCTGAAGCGGCAGATCATGAGGCGCGAGAGGCTGAAGTTCTGCCAGCTGAAGATCAGCAACGCCCAATCTGATAAAGGTGAGATGAGGAAAAGCCACTTAAACTATACTACACTAACATTAGATGTGTTATCAGACAGACTTGTAGAAGCTGTGATTTATTATCATGACTCTGATGGTGACATATAGTGATGTTTTGAGTGTTTTAAAATGCTAATGGCACTCAAAGTATACCATGGTAAATGATTATTACTATATTCAAACTTTATTTTGCTGTCAGAATACACAGATGATGATGCTCTCATCCCCAAAAACACGTCGGTCATCATCAGACGGGTCCCTGCGGCTGGACTGAAGTCATCAAACAGAAGATTTGTTGGGTAAGTTATGTGAAATGAGTGCAATCGTCCTCTGATAGATGTTATATCAAGAGTTTGAGTCTGTCTGTGGTGTTTTAGTCACACAAGCTCCTTTGTTTTGCAGACATCAAGCTGGATTATCAGCCAAATCTTCTCAAACAGGTGATTCTTCACTCCTCTCACTGGAGCAGCTGTTGAAGGTATTGAACAACTGATTAATTCACCCCACTGTGCTGCTCTGTATTGAACTGCAGTGTTTGCATTTGAGGCGTCATAATGACATGTAGTGCAGAATATCAATACACAGTGTAAAACACCCACACACACACACACACACACACACACACACACACACACACACACACACACACACACACACAGAGCTTCTTAGGGAGATTTGAGGGTGTTTATCTGAGCTCTTGAGCAAATCAGTGAAATAAAATTCTAATGTGCAAATGCCTGTGAAACAGACTGAGAATCTGGCTGAGGCAAAGGCATCAGAGGAGGACAAGCTAAAAGCGGTGATGTACCAGTCCAGTCTGTGCTACTACTCCAGCAGGTGAGCGTTCAGACACTGACAGGTTTGGTTTGTGAGAAATGTTAGAGCTGATTCTCATGGTTCTGATGTTCATCAGTGAGGCCATGACACTGCTTGGGCTTCTTCCACCCAACTATGTCTGCTTTCACTGTGGGATCCCTGGACACCACATTAGGCACTGCCCCTCTAAAGGGGTAACTGGGTTTTGTAAGCTTATGGTTGCTGTGAACTTGAGCTCTTGTCTCCATCAGTCAGATTGTTTGCTCTGTCGTTTGACTGTCACTCATGAATTCACAGGGCAGCAGCTCTGCTCTGCACAAGCGCATCAGGAGGAGCACAGGGATTCCCCGCAGCTTCCTGTTGGAGGTGGACGACCCAAACCGAAAGGGAGTCATGATGGACGGCAGCGGCAAATACGTCATTCCCATCATAGACGCGTGAGTAAACTGTACTTGGCATTGCAGCATGTTCTATTGTTTGTGAAAATCTCACATTATGTCTGCTTGTGTGTGTTTGCGCTCGATCTGTTCAGTGAGGCCTATGCTGCTGAGAAGAAAAAGAGGCCTTCCTTCTGCCAGACCAAGCCGCTGCCCTCCTCTTCCTCAGCTGGTGCAGCATCTTCAGTCCAGGACGCCAGAGGGAAACGTTCCCGTTCCCCATCTCCACCAGAGACGCACGGCGACCAGAAGAGACCACGTCACTGAGAGACCTTCACCCAAGAGACCTGGAGCCGACGTGAGCACAGTGTATATATTGTACATAGTTTATGAATAAAACTGAATAAAGATTATAGCAGCATAAACTGTGGACTGGTTGACCTTCAAACAATACAGAAACACAAAAGAAAATGATCAACACATTAAGATAGAAATGATGAACAAACATGCTGCGGGAGAACCAGTGTGCTGTCCTGCTCAGAATCTAAAACTTTTAGTTAAAGTCTATTTCAGAGGTGCTTCAGGGAAACTTTTTCTTATGAAAGGCCAAAAACTAAACTCGTCTGAGGGTGGTGGGCTGGAGGTAAATCTACCAAACTGTAAAATTGTCAATGTAATTTCCTAGTTTATTATTATTATTCATTATATAATTTACATAATTCACTGTATACTGTAATTTACAACATTTCAAATTCTTTAATTGTATTAATATTTTACATTTTATAATGAATGAAAGTCTTACAATAAAACATGAACAATCCCATTTATAACACTAAAAATACACTTTGCCTTCGCTTGCTGATGTCTTCTGTAATGTCTGCTCTCCTTCAAGTGACTATTATTTTATTTGTTTCATTCACAACATTTCATTGAAACGTTTAATTTCAGTTTGTTTATTTTTGTATCTCAACAGTTAAAAAACAAAGTTATGTTGTATTAGAAATGACAATCTCTGTTAAAGACTTTCCCCCAAAACTCCCCATCATTCTCCCTCTCTTCTCAGATGGGATGGAGGGCCAAATCAAAAGTTACAGTGGATCCACTTTGGCCCACGGGCCCTAGTTTGGGCGTCTCTGGTTTACACCGATGACATGCTCATCTAATCAATCCTGGCCAAACAAAATGTTGCAGCTCATCTGGTCTTCAATGATCCCAAGAGAGCCCACGTCACACCTCTCTTACCTCTCCACTTACACTGGCTGTCAGCTGAAGGTTCAAAACATCTCCACTTGCTACTTGCTACACTTGCCCCTCTGTCCAGAAGTGAGCACTGCCTCTTAGAACCATCCCATCAAGGATTTGGGGTTGTTTAACCCTTCTGTGCTGTTGGTGAAGTTTTGGTCCACTCTGGGCTGATTTTGAGGCTTAATTTACCAACAAATTTCTCTGTGGTTCAGCAAATGGGATGATTTTTGGTGACAAATTTTGTTGACACATATTTTGGGAAAATACTTTTAGAATTTTTTAAAAACTCAACAATACACTCTGGGCAAATTTACCACCCTTTCATTGTGTTCATGGCTGTTTTTGCCCAAGTGATTTCCATTATTTTTAAATGCAACGTCATGACAGCGTATAATCATGCATTCTTGATTGTTGGTGGTTTTTCCTGTTGGGAAGAGGTAAGATTTGTGATTTTTGCTGGTGATCATCAGTTACAGTTCAAAAAAGCTTGATTTCTTGCTTTTATTTGGTGTTTAGTGAGTGTGTGAGGTTGTAAGAGAGACTTTTACACACATATATTGATGTGTAGGAGAAAATACAAAATAGGCACCTCAGCTGTCAGAACATAGTAAACATAGTAAGTGTACTTATGCATGCACTCTATAAATTGCAGTTTTACTCCACAGAACTCCATATAAAAGTCAGACACGCTTTTGCACGGGGCAATGTAAAGGATTTAATGGTGCCAACTGATGATCAACAGTAAAAATGAAATTTGACCTCTTCCTAAGTGGGAAACTACCAACCAGAGTTGCTGCTGGTCAAAAGGAGACCCTAAGATAATTTTTACTGCGGTGCTTCAGCAGAGAAACAAAAACACACAAACATATGTATTTAAATGTGTATTCATTTATTATATATAAAAATATGCATATAAACACGCAACATTAAATGTTTCATAAAATAACAGTTTACGTCAAAATAAACACTGACATGTCTTCTGCAGAAGGATTCCTAATTGCAAACATTTACAAAGGTTGTCATAAAACCATGTCTGAAGCTGTGGAGATAGACGGTCCTCGGTGCTGCATGCTGTATCTGTAACGGTCAGCTGCTGGCCTTTTTTCAAAAGGTTTAATCCGGATCAAATTGATCCAGATTTAGTAATTCTGTTTTTGCGATCCGTGATCAGGTAATCCAGCTTACTTTTTGAGCCAGTTTTTCAGAGCAACATCGAATTGGATCAAACTGATACGGATAGGAACTTTTCAGAATCACTAAATCTGGATAACCAGTGCTCAAACAGGATAGGAAATCACAATGTAGAACTATAGATATGTAAAGAGCGACAAGTAGAATAGCCAGCGTGGGGTCAACATAACTTTATTTTTTTTTTAAATGAAAACTTAATAAATATTAAATTAATAGTAATAATAAATAATAAAAGCAAGAAAAACAACACCGCATCCTCTTCCAGCAGTCCACTCATCTGATACCTGAAACACTGTACATTGAGGATATTTATAACAAGTTTTCAAATATAGATGTAAATAAAAAAAAGACTTAATGTCAAAAACTCCACAATAATCTCAGACTTCCTCATCTGATGTGGAGAGAGCAGCTTGTCTGAGCGTAGCCTTTAGGAGGCGGATCTCAAGTCCTTGGCCTTGGTTTGCTGCAGTTTGGTCAGAGTCAGTTGTTCCTCTGTCAGACGAAGCTGTGCTTCTGCCCTTTCAGTCTCTTTTTGCAATTGTCAAAAGAGATTTCAAAAATCAGTCATTGCCATTCTTTGCATTTTTTGTTTATTCTGTAATCATTGCATGCATCACTAATAAATATTCTAAAAAGAAAAATATTTTTCATTGTGATGAATATATATATCAATTAGTGACAAAATAAAATTGATTGTTTTTGGTCAATTTTCACAGCTGTTTGGGGGATTATTTTATGAGGCCAAACTCTTTCTACGTTGCTGGAGGCCTATACTGAAAGGCTAAATACATTAAAGCCAATAATCACTATAGCCTGACGGATGAACAAATAAAAGTAAAACCTTATGAATAAAGAGCCGTCACAACTGCTGATACCTGTCTGGTTATTCCCACAATAAAAAGAAAACACAATGCAGAACCCTTGATGGAGCTGCCAAATATCAGATGATGGGTTCAAAGTAACAATGTGTAAATTATGTTTAAAGTGAAATTCATTCAATCATTCATTTTCATTTCGGCTTAGTCCCTTAATTAACCGGGGGTCACCACAGCGGAATGAACCGCCAACTTATGCAGCATATGTTTTACGCAGAGGATGCCCTCCCATGTTGCAACCCATTACTGGAAAACACCCATACACTACAGACAATTTAGCTTACCCAATTCACCTATACCGTATGTCTTTTGGACTTGTGGGGGAAACCGGACCAACCAGTGAAAACCCACACCAACACGGGGAGAACTTTAGTGAAATTCTTCTAGAATTTTTTAAAATACCACCCGATATTGATAGACCACACTTATGAGTTAGTAACCACAGCAAAACATATTTCTGTTTAAAACATCATCTTTTCAAAATATACTCATGAAATTGAGATAATTTCTGTATTTCTGTTTAGTCTTGTTGGTTTACCACAGCGGAATGAACCCCCAACTTATCCAGCACGTTTTTAGCAGATGCCCTTCCAGCTGCAACCCATCACTCGAAAAAACTAAACTTTTAGTTATTTCTAATTATTAACACACAGTCATGTCATTCATCTCAAAACCTTTATTACTTCTTTTTACTGTTAGAAAGATATATCAGAGTAAAAACAACTAGTGTAAAAGTCTGCGTCTCTCTGTGTCGCTCAGGCTGCACTGCAGTGTCTATTCACAGGCGCGATCCCA